TTACAGCTAAAGTTTATATACCCTTCAAATGCAATTTCTCCAAACGACAATAAAGGTATAATTTTAAAGTTAAACTCCAACTACAACAGAAATATTCTTTAAATTATTTAAAGCACTACTGCAACCCCAGAAGAAGAAATATTTATGTTAATTGTATTACTAACCCATGTGCAAACCTAATTGGAAAGATACGCTTGTCCAATGAGAATCAAACTAGGGTATGAACTATGATCCATTGTTATACCAACCCAGAGAGAAAAGTCTTGATGCATTACTCCAAATCCAGCGACATTCACAGCAGCGTTTTTAATTTCTCTGGCTCGGGTGAACATGATAATGAAACTGAAATAGAAAAAGGGTCAGAGCAGCTTGAGAAAAAGGTAGTACCACAATACAGTACTAATTTGGCTGATAAGCACACACAGCTGCAATAGGTCAAGGATTCACTGTGCCACCTGGCTGTTTTACAGAGTAGTGCATCAGATTACTTAAGAAAATAAAAACAAAATGACATGGTGCTGGCCAGGATACTGCAGTACTTTCAGCTGTATACCAGGTGACACCTCACAATTGCTGCTCCCTGTCCATCTGCATTTTCTCAGACAAATGGACATTTTTCAGGCCATCAACTAAGCTGTCATCATAGAGCCCAGGATAACAGTGTACTACCAGCATACAGTGCAGTGACAATCTCGTCTTCTGTCTCTGTATCTTCCCGTTTTCCCGTTTTAAATCTTGCACATTCATAAATGACATTGCTTTTCATGATGAAATACCTGTCAATGCTGCCTTTTGCAGCGCTATAAAAGTCTCTGCTCTTGCTCATCTAAGAGGAGTCTGTGGAGAATGTGGTCTGGTTCATCCCTTGTAAAACACTTGAGCTTATTCGCCTGCTTTTCATCTGAGGATGAAATCAAGTTGCCTGCCTGACTAAAAAGTTCAAACCTTCAGGTCCATTCCATCCATTCTTGTGGTGTCTCATACAAATCTTCAAAAATATGTTTTGTTGTAGTTTTTCTTCTTGCTGTTACTAAATGGCAGAGTTGCCAATGACTGTGGAAAGTTACTTTCTTTCCTTATTTTGTGTTTGTGTTTCAGCTAATGCTGTCTGAGTCCTGGAGTGTCTTGAGAAAGTTACCTCAAAGACAGGAGGGGGAGGGTGTAGAGAAACGTATATACTGTATAAGTTGTGTAGAGCCATATCCCCTTTGAACTACGATAGATACTATGACTATTATGGTCCTTATTGTGGCTTCTTGTATACATACAATAAAGCTTGGCTGGACGGATGAACACTTAGGACTCGGACGGATGAACACTTAGGACTCAAATCTCTTGGTTTCTACATTTTGTAACTCATTTATGTACACACAATCTTATCAGAGACCACACAAGTTTTTGTACACACAATCTTATCAGAGACCACACAAGTTTTTGTACACACAATCTTATCAGAGACCACACAAGTTTTTGTACACACAATCTTATCAGAGACCACACAAGTTTTTGTACACACAATCTTATCAGAGACCACACAAGTTTTTGTACACACAATCTTATCAGAGACCACACATAAGTCAAGGGCATTTGTGAGATATTCTCTGTGCACTATAAAGGGAAGAGCAGCTGAACAGATTAAATAAAACCTCCTGGAACGGCGAGAACAACTATCATTCTGATCCCGCTCACTTCACAGAGAGTACCAGAGAGTGAACTTAAGATGGTAAAAAAATGTTTTGGTGTTGCTGCTTTTTTGTTTGAGTCCTACTGTAGGTCTCTTTTCTCTGTCTTTTACTATAAACTATGAACCTCATAGGTGGGGTTGGTTTCACCTCATTGGTGAAACTGTAGACCTCATTTTCCAGAGTTTCTGTTATGTTTGTGGACTCTGAATACCGAATTCAAGTTCAAAAACCTCAAAGTCTGAAAAGGACATTGGGGTGTATGTGTATGTTAAGGTTTTGTGTTCTGCAGAGCGGGGAAGTAGGCGTCACCTTACCTGTGAGGACTCATCAATGCAAGGGGTGCTGTTAACCGGCTTAGGAGATCCAGCGTTGCCTAGGAACGCAAGTAGATGAGCTGCTGGCTGGAGGGGGTGGAGCAGCGTATTGGACATTGCTTCCCTGGTCCAGTTGAGCTCTTTGCTACTTCTTCTCCATGCTGGCTTCCCTGGGTCTTGATGGGCTTAACTTTCTGTCCTCCTGGGCTTTACTTCCATATTGTGGGTCTTGGCTTGCTCTGTTTATTAGCCTAAACCCGAGGTTGGCCAGTTCAAACCTCACATATCTCTCCTTACAATTTTTTTATTGCTTCTCTCAGGAGTGACAAGAAAAGAAATTATATTATTTTTGAAAACTCTCTTTTGAGTAATGCACAGAGGCTTGATTCTTAGATCTCTCAACCACCCATTCCTCTGATACTAAACTAAGCATAGTCCACTTCTTCCAGAAATAATTATAGTTCCTTACATTATAATTGAATACTTTCAGCTTACCCTTTTATAAGAGAATTAAGTAGGCTCAGATATCTGTTGTTTAATGCTGTTGGTAATGTTTTTGTTCAGGATAACAATGTGATTTTTTCATTTAATATCAACAGAATGGTGTTTGTGGTATCTATGGTATATATCTTGACAGTTTTAAGGTATGTTTGCTCAGTTTCTGAAAACCAAAGCTTAACGCAGGTCCTATCTTGAATTCTAGGTAATGACCCTAAATTTATGATCTTGTCTATGGAGTCTTGAGTATCACCAGACCTACAATACTTTGTTCACAGCCAAATGATTTTATGTGCAACTCTTACCTCTCCTTGAGAGAGAGGTTCACAGTTCTTCTGGCTGTTGAAGAGCCAAGAAGAAGAATAAATGCCCCATTATTCAGAGATGCAGGCATGCAGACCTACTTGTTAGTAAGAAATGAGCACACATACCCAAACATCAGATAGTATTACTTATGTCTCCCTTATCTTGGCAGCGTCTCCTTGCTGAAATGTGTGTTCTGGTGGCTGTTGTCCTGTCCTGCCTCCTCCCTTTGTCCTCAGCTTCTGAAGGTAAAGACTGATACATCATTCTGTCAGCATCTCTCAACTTAATCTGTACTTTTTTGTGCTTGAAAAGCCTTGGATCTGGTCATCCCAGTTCTAGTTTGTATCACAGAATATGCCCAGTTTCTTATATATTTATGTAAATGTTAATAACTTTAACACTAGGTTATATAAAGATCTACCTTATTCTTAATAAGCTTTTTCATGTTAAAAAAAAGGAGAGACCAGCTGTACTACAGCAAGAATATACAGCACAAATAATTATATGGGAAACTAAGCAGTGTAAGGCCTGCTATTTCAAAATGTCCACTCTTTTCTTATATTTGCTAAACATCAAGCTGCAAATGCACTAGCAAAAAGTCTTTGTCCAATTTTGATCCAATAAAATGTGTGCATTAGGCATAATATTAATCACCTATGAATGGTTGATATTATTGCATTAGCATTGGCTCCTGGTACAGGATGAGCTGTATCCAAATACTGGGAGTTTGAGTCTTTACTGATTGTGTAACAAGGCATCCAGAAAAGGAGTATACAATTGGGATTGAGAAGCCAGAGGATGAAGTTGTGGCACTCCCAAAACTGGGAAATTTGACATTCACAGGAGGTTATTAGGGAATTCGCTGCACCCTATCGATGGTCTAAGAGTAGAGACAGGTTGTATACTCAGACCTTCACAGTCTTTTTGATAGTGAGACTTTTTGATAGAAGTTCGTTGTGGCAGTTTAAGTTTAAAAAGCTTCCAAATATTTAGATGGGTTAAGACTGAAACGAAGACATACCTTACGTAGCAGCCTCAATCTGTCACGATCGTTACTCCTCCTCTTAAGGGCGCTCCAGCCCTTCCTCGTTCTGTCCCATTCCCCACACCTGTTCCTTATTCCAGCCCCTCTTTAGTT